CTCAAAAAAAAAAATAGCCAGGTGTTGTGGCAGACGCCTGTAATCCCAGCAGCTTGGGAGGCTGAGGCAAGAGAATCGCTTAAGCCCAAGATTTGGAGGTTGCTGTGAGCTGTGATGTCATAGCACTCTACCCAGGGCAACAGCTTGAGGCTCTGTCTCAAAAAAAAAAGTATCATATATTCAAGCCATCAGTCCTTTACTATACAAAGAGTCATATGAAATGGGTGTGGTGGCACCTGTAGTTCTAGATACTCAGGAGGCTGAGGCAGGGGGCATCACTTGAACCCAGGAGGTGAAAGCTGCAGTGAGCTGTGATCACATGACTACACTCCAGCCTGGGTGACAGAGTGAGACCTTGTCTCTAAGAAAAGAAAAATAGTCCCAGTGCTCATGCTTGTAATCCTAGCACTCTGGGAGGCTGAGTCAGGTGGATTGCTTGAGCTCAGGAGTTCAGGACCAGTCTGAGCAAAAGTAAGACCCTGTCTCTATTAAAAATAGGAAAACTAGCCAGGCATTGTGATGAGCCCCTGTAGTCCTAGCCACTTGGGAGGCCAAGGCAGGAAGATCTCCTGAGCCCAAGAATGTGAGGTTGCTGTGAGCTATGATGCCATAGCACTTTACCCAGGGTGACAGAGAGAGACTCTGTTTCAAAAAACAACAACAACAAAAATAAATAAATAAATAAATATGAGGGGACATAGATTATAACTTCCATTATCTTCAAGACTAAAAGTCAACCAACTTTTTTTGTAAGGAGCTGAACAGTAAATACTTTAGACTTTGAGCACCTGAGGACCCTCTCACCACTGCTCAGAGCGCTCAGCACACAAGCCACCAGGCCTGGCTATGTCCCATAAAATGCTATTTACAAAAGTGGATAACAGGCTAGCTCTGGCCCACAGACTGTAGCTTGCTTACCCCTGTTCTAGAACTAAACATCTTCTCTTTGTCCAGTCGCTAGAAGATAGGATAGTTGAGTAAGTTCCAGCTTTTCTTAGTCTTTTCAATTTAAACTCTGAGTCTGCTCCTGTCCTAACTTCTCTCCCACTTTTAATGGCCATTCAGATCCAAGGGGACTTCTCTAGTCATGGCACTGGGACGAGCAAAAGGCCTACAGACCAATGTCCTGTTTTCATCGCCAGCTTTGCCTGAGACACCTACATCTTACTGGCCTCTGGTTCGTCTACACAGATACACTGAGCCATCGTCCTGTCAGCTGTGAGACCCCTTAGGATGCTCCAGCCTTCCTTAGCCTTGCAATTTTGGGGCACAGGAATTTCAAGGCTTTCCCATGCCACGTGGGCATCTAGGACTTCATGGACAAACGCCACACCCTGCTATTGTCATTCTGCTCCCAGGGCTTTTCTCCAAAGCTATAGCCTGAGAAGCGAAGCAAAGTTCTTCTCTGCTCTTGGTCCCCAAATACACCTGAGTGGTCTACCTTTACCCAAAGCCATTGACCCACACTAGTGAGGTCCTGGAGGCAGAGGCAGCACTGTAGCTCTCCCCCTCTCCATACCACCTGGGGTAGAGTTTATTGCTGTTGCTTTTTGTTTGTTTTGTTGTTTCAACATCTTTTCTTATCTAGATATGCAACTGCTTTTTCCAAATTAGTCATGTGTCCTTTGCCTTCAAGCACTTGAACCCAGGAATTAAAGACATAAAATTTTTATCCCATTTCTGTCTTTATAAGCAATAGGGACAAAATCTAGACTGCAGAGAGGGAAGTGAGGGCCAAACAAAGAAATTTCAGAATGATACTGCAAATCTTTTTTTTTAATTAATTAATTTTATTTATTTATTTTTAAGACAGAGTCACACTATGTTGCCCTTAGTAGAGTGTAGAGACGTCACAGCTCACAGCAACCTCAAACTCTTGGGTGGAAGCGATTCTGTTGTAGTCCCAAGTAGCTGGGTCTACAGGCACCCACCACAATGCCCGGGTATTTTTTTTGTTACAGTTGTCCTTGCTGTTTAGCTGGCCTGAGCTGGGTTCAAACCCGCCACCTTCTGTGTATGTGGCTGGCTCCATAACCACTGTGCTACAGGCACCGAGACAATACTGTAAATCTTATTCTTCCATGTGCAGGTCCTGTTATCCTCCTCACTTTACAAATATGGAACCTGTGCTTAGAAAGATCCAGGAGCTGCCATTCTTGAGACAGAGTGCTGGATCTACACCCAAAAGCCCTGGCTGGGACTTGGGCATCTATGTCTGTTGGTGATGTCTCATCTCTTCCCTTCTCTCCCCTACCAGGACAACTCCCAGCTCCCTAAAGCCCCTTAGCATACAGTGGTGCCCACTATGCAGTTCTGATCCCAGTGCTCAACCGGAGGAGAAATCTCCCAGCCTGGTGTCATGTAGCCACACTAGGGCTCTGGGGATAGGACACATCAATCCACACATACCCCGCTGTGTGGCCTGGACGAGTTCTTGCCCCCATCTGAGCCTCAGTTTCCTCATCTGGAAACTAGGGATTACAACAGCAATCCAATACATGTCCTCTGAGGACCTGCTCTGGCAGGCAATGTGTTGAACGCTGGGGGTACAAAGGGAGCAAGATTGTTCCCATGTCCCCATAGCTTATGGTGGCTGTGCACACCCAGCACGGAGGTGGACATACTGGAAGCATTCAGTGACGGAAGCTATCCTGTGGCACAGTATGATCTGCTGCTGCAGCCCAGCAGACTGGCCTGCGTGGTGGTGGCTTCTCAGGAAGTTTCCTCTGATTGATGAGGGTCTTTTTCTCTAGGGGATGTGCTGTTGGCTGCTTTTGTGTTCCATGTAGCCGCTGGGCCCCAAACAACTGGCAAAGCAGTTTGACGATTTTTTCTTTGAGACAGCCTCAGGCTGTCACCCTGGGCCAAGTACTGTGGCATCACAGCTCACAGCAACCTCCAACTCCTGGACTCAAGCGATTCTTCTGCCTCCCGCCTCCCAAGTAGCTGGGACTACAGGCACCCGCCACAACACCCGGCCATTTTTTGGTAGCAGCCATCATTGTTGTTTGGCGGCCGGGCTGGATTCAAACCCGCCAGCTCAGTATGTGGCTGGTGCCTTAGCCGCTTGAGCCACAGGCGCCGAGCCAGTTTGATGATTTTTAGGTGAGGGAATTAGTGGAACAGTGGGCCCAGACCAGGAGGAGTCCGGTACATTGGGAGCTTCCCATGCAACAAGTTGGGGTGGAGCAGAGGCTTGCTCTCAGGAAGGTAGGGGCAAACTCCCACATAGCCTTCATGATGTAAGGCAAAAGCCACTTCCTCTGTTTAGGCTCCCTCGATTTTCTCATAACTGCCCCCACCAAGACCAAAGACTGGGTCTTGAACTACACCCCAGCCCTTAGTTATAATTCAAGATCAAGAGATACTGGACTGTAGGGACCTTATTTGACGCTCATCAGGTTTCTCCTGTCCTGCACCTCTGAGCCTCCAACCTGACTCCCCCAAACCTTATTGACAAAGTATGGAAATTAGGAGTTGAGGTTTAGGAGTCATTCAGACAGCTGAGATCCCCTCTTGGCCTTGTAGTTTAGGAAACTACAATGAGTTAGTCATTTTTGTAAACCTGTCTCCTCATCTGTAAAATGGGCAATTATTGTGCCTGCCTCCCAAGGACTAAAGGGCTTAATTAGCTCAAACAGCTGATAGAAGAGATCCATTGCAAGCCCAATCCCAGAAGGTCTGCGCTGCCCCAAAGGTCGCCTTCCCCTCTGTGAGATCTCAATGTGTGCATGCTGGCGAGAGGAGGGGAGAAGGTGGGTGCCCTTGGACAGCAGGACCCAGTGTCAACAAGAGGTCACCCAGCAAGAAAGTGAGTGACCCAGCTGGGCTGGAAGACAGATCTGCAACTCTGGTCAACTGCAGCTGTTTTCCTCGGCCTCTACCGCTGACACGCACCCCCTCCGCCTGCTCTAGTATTCTCTTTCTCTCCTAGTTTCTGCTTCTCTAACTGCGTGGCAGGGCTTCGCCGTGTGGGAGGAGGCGGGGTCAGGCCCAGAGCAAAGGCTCTGGCCTACTGTGGGAAGGGGGCGTCGGATCTCTGTGAGAACTCCGAAGTCCCCAGAAATTGGGGCGGAGTCTGGGGACCCTGAAGCTGGGGGCCCGCATAGATTACTGGAAAGTCCCTGAGCTAGAGAGGAAGGGCGGGGGAGCCCCATGGACAGGGTGATGGGCGGGGCTTCTCTGGGTCCGTGGGCGGGGCTCGAGGGAAGGGCGTGGTCTCCTCAGAAAGGGAGGAGCTCCGCCGATTAGGGCTAAGCTTCGCCGCAAGGGGCGGAGTCTGGATGAGGCGGGACTCTCTCGGGGGCGTGGACAACTGGGCGGGGCATCTGGACAGGGGGCGGAGCGTGGCGGTTCGGGCTCATCCCCGCCTTTCCCGGCCCCGGGTGTCCCCGTGACGAGGCAGCGCGGAGCCGCCGCGGGCCGGGCCCATCCCGCCGCAGCGGCCCTAGGGCCAAACAGGGGCGAGGTGGGGAGGGAGCAGCGCCCAGCAGGTCCCGGAACGTGGCCAGGTGAGGCTGCAGGGGCGGAGGGGGCGGGGGCTGCGCCGGGCGGGCGCGGGGGGCGTGTTTGCGTGTCTGGGGGTGGTGGCGGGAGTAGGTCTGAGGGCGGGCGCCTGTGGCTGTTTGCGCGTCTGCGCGTCCCTGCGGTCGCGGGTGTGAGGTGGGCTCTGCGCCCGTCCGGGCAGTGCCTGCCGGGCTCCGGTTGTGCGGGGCTGTGTGCGTGCGCGCGCGTGTTCGTGTGGAGGGGCTGCGGCTGTGTATCTGCGTATGCGCTGGGCCTTAGTTATGTCTACCTGGGGCTAGGGGCGCGGGGCGCGGGCCTGCCCAGCGCAGTCCCTCCAACGCGGGGATATTTTCCAAACAGACTGCCTGCGGGAGACGAGCTCTGCTGCAGCCTAAGCAGGAGGGGGAAGCCCTGCTCCCATAGGCCTCCTGAGACCCGGGCGGCCCAGGGACCGCAGGCAGACACCTGAGGGAGGGAGGGGCGCACACCCAGGGAGAGTCCTTTGGCCTGGCCGTAGGGCGAGGTCAAGATGGGGAGACTGAGGCAGATGGATGGTGAGGTGAAGATGGGCAGATAGGCAGAGATGGAGAAAAGGGTAAGAAGAGAAGGAAAAGGACAGTGGCTGGGAGGACATAAAGTCATTGAGAAAACAGGCCTAGATTGCAAAGGGGCAGAAAGATTAAGATGGATAGATAGAGCCAAGGGACGTGACAGAAGAGATAGCTCTGCGGTCCTGAGGCTAAGAGCTAAATCCAGGGACTGAGTTGGGATTGAGGAGTATGGACCCCCAACTCATGGGATCCCCCTCTTCCAAGCACATCCCAGTCTGGTATCTTGGGCCAAAAGCACCCTCTGGCCACCACAAGTTAGTCCATCCCTCTGGTGCAACCCAAGATCACCCTCTGATTGTGCCACCTCTCCCTTTTGGGACCATCCCACTCATCTCCACTCCCCGGTATCCCAGCATCCCTGGTCAGTTTAGGGCAGGCAGAGGTGAAGTAGTTGTCATAGCAACAGCAGTGGTGAAAGGTCACTATTGCCTTAGCCTAGGAGGCCCTGCAGTATGCTGGAGCTAGGAATGTGGAGGGCCTAGGATGGGAAGCTACAAAGCTCTTTTCTCTCCCACTCTGCCCAGAATGGTGCTGGAAGGAAACCCTGAAGTGGGGGCCCCTCGAACCTCAGACCTCCAGCACCCTGGGAACAAGGGGTCTTGTGTTCTCTCCTCTCCTGGTGAAGATGCACAGCCAGGCGAGGAGCCCATCAAGTATGGCGAGCTCATCGTTCTGGGGTGAGCATCCCTGGCGTGGGAGGGGTAGGGCACCAGGCACCCCCACAGGGCCTTCTGCCATTTGTCCCTCCTCACCTTCCCAGCTGAAAGACAAAACCGATCAAACCCACTTCAATTCATAATTATTATTTTATCTTCCCATTTTTCACAAATTACTGAGACAACTATAACTGCCCACGTTTCTGATCATATGAGGAAAAAAAGATACTAACTGCGCCTTTTATAAAGCCCCTAGTGTGTTTGGTGTCGGGTGAAGAAATTTGGTTCTCCAGCAAAACCGCTTGGTTCAAATCCTGCCTCTGTAAGTCGCTGAACTTCCCTGTGTCTCCACTTTCCCATTTTGCAAATAGGGATGATAATAACCCTACCTCAGAGGGCTGCCGGAAGGAATGAGTGAGGTGATTTCTGTAAAGTACATAGACTAGTACCCAGCACATAGCAAGTGTTCTGGGAGGCAGGCCTGTGCCAAGCCCTTTCATGGACATTATTTCATTTCAATCTTCACAAAGATGCTGTGAGGAAGGAGGTGAGGAAACCGAGGCTCAGAGAGGGGAAGTGACTGGCCCAAGGGCACACAGCTGGTAAGTGGCAGGGCTGGGATTTGGACCCAGGTCTTTCTTACTCTAGGTCTAGTGCACTTTCACTAAGCCACAGCTGACCCTCACACTACACATGTGTACGCTGAGGCCAGAAGAGGGAAAGCAACATGAGTCAGTGGTCAGGCAGTCCTCAGCCCTCCTGGTCTTACCAGGATACCCCCCTGTACCAGCCACTTGGCTCCTCCACCTCCTCCATCCAGGTCTCCTTTGGGCCTTTCTCTCTGCCCCCAGTCCTGAAGAAACTATTTGATAAACTATATTTTCATTATAATAATTATTAAGAAATAATAATGGCTACTGTTCGTTGACACATGTGTGCTATGTGCTTTTTAAAGAAAATAATGATAGCTATGCTTATTGAGGGTTTGCTATAGACACCAAGCTCTCTGCCAAGCGTTTTTAAATGCTTTATCTCATTTAGTTAGCAAAATGAACCTGTGAGGTAGGTCCTGAAAAGTTAGCCCTGGTTTATAGAGGTCACATGATAAATAGAAGTGCTGGATTTAAGCCAGGCCCATCTGCATCCTGAGGCTGTGTCCTGAGCGGCCCCACCCCAAGACTTTCCCAGTATGTGGAAAGAACTCACCAGAGCAAAATGGATGCCCCTCCTGGGAGTGCTAACATGGGACAAGCCGCTGATTCTCATCCCAAAGGCAAAGCTTGCTTTCTAGCTGAGGGCAAGACCACTGATTGGGGAGACTGAGGGCAGAAAGATGTGGGCCCTCTTGACAGCCCTCTGCAGAGCAGGGATGCCCCATGCTGGCTGCACATCACAGCCCCCTGCAGAGCACACTGAAAATATACCTCAAACCTATGGAATCAGAACCTCAGCAGGGCCAGGGAATCTGGATTTTAACAAGCTCACCAGAAGATGTCCAATTCAAGTGGTCCTCATCTATATTTGGCAGCTGCCACTCCCTGCTTTGAAACCTTCAGAGCTCCCCACTGCTTACAGAATAACGTCCTCAGCTTGGTGTTTGGAGCCTTCTACTACCTTCATCTTCCCTATTGCACTTCACCACCCAAGTCACTGCTCCCCAATCTCACCAGACCTGGCCATCCATGGGGCCTTTGCTCAGGGTGAGCCTCCTTCTAGAAGGGCTTCTCCAGGTCAGAGTCAGACAGACTCAAGCTCAGATGTGCACATTTCAACTTCCTAGCCTGAGGCAAGTCATTTTACCTCCCTGAGCCTCAATTTCTCTCATTTGGAACATGGGAAGGAAGACACTTGCCTGGCAGGACGTTGCACAGACTCCATTAAGTGATTGATAACGTGGAGGACTAGGAACCCACAGGTTTAGTACCTGGCAGCTATCAAAGCTGTGACTCATTCCCTTTGCCTCTCACAATCACTCCCTCTGGACACTGGACAAGAGCTGGAAAGAAAGGTGGAGATTTGAAGTGCATGAATACACAGAGGTAGTGGCACTGTGGATCTATTGTTTTCTTTTGGTATCTAGTGGTGGTGTAATAAACAACAATGTGCTACAGGTGAATCCTTTCTAGTTCTTCAAAACCCAGTAGATGCTTCCTCTCCTGGAAACCTGATCCTAGAGACAGAATTCCCTCCTCCTCTGGGCCTGTGGCATATTGGCTTATGCCTGGGTCATGGCAGGTGGCACCTTATTTGCAGAAGCAGCCAAGGTTCCCCTCCCCTGAAGGAACATAACTCAGTGGCCAGCGTGCATCACCTCTACAGCCCCAGCACCCACCCAGATGTGGCTCAGGCGAGAAATACTTAGTCAATTGCCTGAACGTCCTTCTGAAGTTGTTCAGCATCCACCCTGCTTCCCAGGACACTGATTTTCTATTGTAGGGCCTTCTGGTTTGGGGTGGTTCTAAAGTATGTTTATTACGTTGGGATCTGCCCAGAAGTTGGCAGTTTGCATCATGTCCCATCAGAGGCTCACTTTCTCTCCTCCTCTCTCTCCTCCTGCAACCCTTTCTTCTTAACTCCCCACACCCACAGCTATAATGGCTGTTTGGCAAGTGGGGACAAGGGCCGCCGGCGAAGCCGCCTTGCACTGAGCCGCCGGCCACATGCCAATGGTGTGAAGCCAGACGTCATGCACCACATCTCCACGCCACTCATCTCCAAGGCAAGCATCTGACCAAACCTGCCTTCCCTGTGCAACCCCCAGGTCTTCAGCCTTCCCAGTCCTCCCTGCCTGAAGCCCCATTGGAGCAGGGGGGCCACTGTGTCATCACTCACTGCCTACTGGGCTACATGAGAAAGGGCAGCGATGGGAAATCCTTTGCAATGTTCACAGTCCTTTGCAGTATGTTTCCTTGACCATCAGACTCCATTCATTGGATGGAAATGAGTAGCATCCTCTTAGAGGCAGCTGAGGCTCAGAGAGGGGGCTGTGACCATCACACACGATAGCAGAGGGAAAACCTTTGGCTTGAGAGGATTTGGGTTAGATTCAGCCTCTGCTATTTCCAGTTGTGTGCCTTTAGGTCAGTCCTCCACTGACCTGCAGTTCCCTCAGCTGTAAGTGGGACTGACAACCCCATTCTTGGGTGGCTGTAGGGGTTAAATCAGTTATAAAGCTGCTGTTGCATGGTACACCCTCTACAAAGTTTGGATCCTCCCTTTCCTGCTGGGCTCTGAACTCCAGCTTCAGCTTAGAGGCTCACACTTCTCGTGGCCACATGCCCCAGAAAGTGACTTCTTTCTTCCCACCAGGCACTGAGTAACCGAGGCCAACACAGCATCTCATACACACTGTCCCGGAGCCACTCGGTCATCGTGGAGTACACACATGACAGTGACACAGACATGTTCCAGGTATGTCAGCCCTCCCACAGACCTCCTGGCCTTGGAGCCTCCGGGCTGTTTGGGTGCTCCAGGCTGGGGCTGCAGGGTAGAAGGCTGTGGCAAGGAAGCTTTGGGGGCACTCGGTGTAGTCAGCTGTTCATTCTTCAGAGTCACGTAGCCAGTCTGTGGTTGTATCAAGACCTCCAGACTGTGGGAAGCCATACTTTGAGTTCAGAGTATGGGTGTAAAAGTCGTAATGGTTGGATTCAGATCTCTGCTCTGTCACATAACTACCAGGTGACTTTGGCAAGAGCCATTTAAGTTCTCTGAGCCTGGTTTCCTCATTTGTAAAGTGAGGCCCATAACAGTACCTATGCCATGAGAAGATTAATCGAGGCATTGCCCATAAAATGCTTAGTGTAGGGCCATGTCCATTACTCAGTGGTTAGAGTGCTAGCCACATACACCAAGGCTGGTGGGCTCAAACCTGGCCTGGGCCAGCTAAAACAACAACAAAAATAGCTAGGCATTGTGGCAGGCACTTATGGTCTCAGCTACTTGGGAGGCTGAGGCAAGATAATCACTTAAGCCGAAGAGTTTGTGGTTGCTGTGAGCTGTGATACCATGGCACTCTACCAAGGGCGACAGCTTGAGACTGTCTCAAAAAAAAAAAAATGGGGGCAGCGCCTGTGGCTCAGTGAGTAGGGCGTCAGCGTCATATACCGAGGGTGGCGAGTTCAAATCCAGCCCCAGCCAAATTGCAACAAAAAAATAGCCAGGCATTGTGGTGGGCACCTGAAGTCCCCGCTGCTCAGGAGGCTGAGGCAAGAGAATCGCCTAAGAGCTGGAGGTTGCTGTGAGCTGTGACGCCACAGCACTCTATCCAGGGTGACAGAGTGAGACTCTGTCTCTAAAAAAAAAAAACAAAAAAAAAACAATGCTTAGTGTGGTGCCTGGCAGATAATAAATACTTACTAAACATTCACTATTTGCTGCTAATGTTTGAGTACCCCTCTACTGATCTATCAGCAAATCAACTATTTTTTATTGAGTGGGTGACAGAGCAGGCGAATGGCTGATGGACTTGGAGACCCCACCTGGGAGGCCCTTTGGGGGGGCCAGGGAGTCAGTGCCACCCCTTGCTCAGGGGCTAGGGGGCGCATCATCTGGTCGTGCATGCAAAGCAGCTACTGGTTTGCTGAGTGGGAAGCCCAGGAGGCTTCCCATGCTCATATAATCCCAGGACCTCCTGCACTTCCTCATAGATCGGCCGCTCTACGGAGAACATGATCGACTTTGTGGTAACAGACACGTCCCCAGGAGGAGGAGCTGCTGATGGTCCTTCTGCCCAGAGCACCATCTCCCGCTATGCCTGCCGCATCCTCTGTGACCGCCGGCCGCCCTATACAGCCCGCATCTATGCTGCTGGCTTTGATGCCTCCAGCAACATCTTCCTTGGAGTGAGTGAGCCCCCAGGAGGGGACCAACTCTTCATCTAAGAGTGAGCCAAGGTCAGGCTGGGGAGGTGCAGCATCCTAGGGTGATGGATCAGCCCATAGTAAACCTAACGATGACCTGGGCAGGAATTAGCAACCCCACTGAACAGATGAACAGAGCGAGGTTCAGAGAGGTCAGGGGATACCCAAGTCATGGCTCCAGTGCCTGTCCTCTCTGGACCACCTCTGAACTTGAGGGTAGAGGGGCAGCACCTCAGACATGCAGCCTGCTTAGGGGCCTCTCGGGGGTGTGATCTGATCCCTAATGTGGTCCCAGGAACGGGCAGCCAAATGGCGGACCCCTGATGGCCTGATGGATGGCCTGACTACCAATGGAGTCCTAGTGATGCACCCAGCGGGTGGCTTCTCCGAGGACTCAGCTCCGGGTGTCTGGCGAGAGATCTCGGTCTGCGGGAATGTATATACGCTACGGGACAGCCGCTCTGCCCAGCAGCGGGGGAAGCTGGTAGGTGGCCTGCTCTGCTCCCACCCTGATCCTTGCCAGTCTACCCATACCCCTGCCAGAGCCAAGAGTGATCTCCAGCATCTCTGCCCAAGGGAACCCCAGCAAACTTCACCTGGGAGAATTCCCAGGCTTGGGGAGTTCTTGTCATGTGCCACTTGCCCCACAGTGTCAGGAAAAGACCTGTATCCCTAAGGGTAGTCCATGTCCCTAGGGAGGTCTCTATGGCACTCTGAAGTAGAGTGCACACAAACACACCTCAGCGTGCAGACAGCCAGCAGCTTAAAAAAATTACACCCTCTAATGAGGGTGACACTTGGCCCATGTGTGAGCAGTTTGTAGCCTAGGGTATCAGTCGTCTGCAGAGTATCTGTCACGTTTAGACAGGTTTAGCTTTATTCTCTCCCCACAGGGAAGGTGGCAGTGGAAGCGCCACAGGGTACAGATCAGAGAACTGTGCCAGGAGTGAGTTCTAGAGAGGCAGGGGCTTGCCCAAGGTCCTTTGGACATGCTCCACAAATGGGCCATGCAGAGCTCTTCCTGGGTGTAAGCACAGCCCTCACAACCTCAGGGAAAGCATGTCTTGTCTTTCTAGACAAGAGGGTCAACTCAACTGGGAGACTTGGGGAAGTGTTACTTTTTAACGCTGTGCACATGAACATTTCACAAGCATGTACTTGTGAGCACCCACTGTGTGCCCAGCAGCTTCCCGAGGGGTCACACTGATTGACTCATCTAATTTTCGTGAAAACCTCTTCAGATCCCGAGAGGAGGCATCCATCTTGAGGGTGAGGAAACAGCATGGGCTAAGTTGCTCAATCAGTGACACAGAGTTAGTAAACAGTGACACCAGTACTCAAACCCAGCAATCTAGCACCAAGGTTTTTGCTTTTAACCATAATCCCTGGGATAGTTGCTTTGGGTTGAGTATCCAGCATTCCCAGTTAGAGGTGTTCCCTGCCCCTGCCATTAAGGGCAGAACTTTGGGAAACAGTTTTAGAAAAACCCTGTTTTGGTCCAGACCTCCTGATTTGACAGATGAAGCCAAGGCCTGTGCCCCACTGGGAGTGAGGGCCAGTCCCTGCCTAGAGCAACCCAGGGTGGCCTCTCTAGGGAGGCTCAGCGGGATAGATGGGCGATTTGGCTGTGTGGCCTCTGGGACAGTAAGACCCTTCTGCTGCTTCTGCAGGTAGAAAACGAATCCAACGTGCTGCAGGACGGCTCCCTCATTGACCTGTGCGGGGCCACACTGCTGTGGCGCACTCCAGCAGGGCTGCTTCGGGCACCCACACTGAAGCAGCTGGAGGCCCAGCGCCAAGAGGCAAATGCAGCGCGGCCCCAGTGCCCTGTGGGGCTGAGCACCCTGGCCTTCCCCAGTCCAGCCCGTGGCCGCACCGCGCCTGACAAGCAGCAGCCCTGGGTCTATGTCCGTTGTGGCCATGTCCATGGCTACCATGGTTGGGGCTGCCGGAGGGAGCGGGGGCCCCAGGAGCGTGAATGTCCTCTCTGCCGCCTTGTGGGGCCCTATGTGCCCCTGTGGCTTGGCCAGGAGGCTGGCCTCTGCCTGGACCCTGGGCCCCCCAGCCATGCCTTTGCGCCCTGTGGCCATGTCTGCTCTGAGAAGACTGCCCGCTACTGGGCCCAGACACCGCTGCCCCATGGCACCCATGCTTTTCATGCCGCCTGCCCCTTTTGTGGGGCCTGGCTCACTGGTGAGCATGGTTGCGTCCGCCTCATTTTCCAGGGGCCACTAGACTAGGTTCCCTGGGGCCCCCAGCTGCTGCATCCACCTGCCCACCCAGGCCCCCCACTTCCTGCAGCCCAGAGGGAGCTCTGCATGTGGGATACTACCTGCTGGCACATGACCATGCCAGATAGACATGTTGGATGGGCTGTGCCCCTCCCCCCTAAGTCTGGAGGTCCCCAGGATCTCTATACCGCCATCATACTGATGGGGCCTTCAGCACCAGCTCTGCCTGGGGCTGATAGAGGGAAGTCCAGTCCCGTGTCCCTGCCCACCCTGGGCCGTCCCACATCAAGCCGCCTACACTGTGTGCCCCTGGGGGGGTGAAGGGGCCCAGGGCCCCTGACCCCCAGCTTAGGCTGTCTGCGCCCTGAGCCTGCCAACCTGGTTCCAGATATTCGTCCTTCCTGCTGCCCTCCTGGGTTTTTCTATAAACCTTGATGCTCAGCCGCCCTCACAAATCCCACATGTCCCGCATGTGTGCAGTGCTGCCAGCTCCTAAGCCAGCGCTGGGTTGATGGTAGGCTGGGACTGGCATTTTCTGACAGCTGCTGAGGGCTGGACTCCATACCATGTAGGCTCTTGGGACATAGGAACAATCAGATGGTCCCCTCCCCTCCCAGGCAGAGTTCACAGTCTAGTGGAGGACCAACAAGGTTACCAAATGACAGCACAGCTTCCTGTGTGCTAAGGTCAGAGAATGGTCAGGGCTTGTGGGGCAGTCCTCACTGGCAGCCAGGGTTGGGACTTCACAGAGGAAGTGGCTAGGAGATCAGCCTCAGTGGCTGCTCAGAATCTTTCAGGTCTATGGGAAGGGTGCTCAAGGCAGAGAGAGGGCCTGCACAAGTGCAGGTGCCTGCACACAGGAAACCAAGGGACAGATTCAGGGTGGCTGGAGCATGGACTACAGGGGGCAAGGAAGGGTTGGAGTAAGAGGTCGGGGCGTGGACCTGGGAAGATGCTGGATGGAGGACTTTGAACCTCATTTGGGGATAGTCAGGAGTCAACAAAGGGAGGAGAGGGGACATGCAGGTCCAGAGAGTTGGCTGTGACACAAGGGCTATCATTCCTGAATGCCCACTTTGTGCCCTGCACTGTGCTAATGATAATAATAACGATGCTCATTGAGCACTCACCAGGCTCTGGGCTCTGCTTCTCGGAGGTTTTGTTGTTTAATCCACAGTAACCCCAGGAAGGGAGGTGTTGCCATGTGTGTTTACAGGGAGATTAAGGCATGAGTTCTAAGTCATACAGCCAGAAAGTGGCCAAGTCAGAACTGGAATCCACAGCTGCCTGCCTGGCACCAGAGCCTGCCCTCTGCCACTACTGCTGCTTTCCTCCTGCAGAGGGGCAGAAGTGAGCAGGGTTTTTGAGATGTGCTTGGTGGATACCCACCTGCCCAGTGCACAGCCCTGTGCGGCCCCATGGTGAGCTAGTCCTTGCGTCCATATGGGAGCTTCTGGTCTCAGGAGGGGTTTGCATGTACTTGTGCTGGAAGCTGACCCCATGCTGACCCCTGCATGGGCGGGTGCAGTGGACCATTAGCCAAGCAGGAGGCATTCTGAGGAGGAAGGCATAGGACCTGAAGCCTGAGCCACACTGTGAGTGGCAGTGTCTCCAGAGGACAGAAGTTTGAAGGCAGCTCAGGCAAGGGAAACAGCATGGTATAGCAGGAAAATGCCTGACAACTGGTGAGCACAGTGTAGATAGGAGCAGAAAAAAAGGAATGGGAGTGGGGATGGATGCCATGGAGGCCAAATCTGACTTGGACCTCTAGTCATTCTGGCTATAAGTCACCTCTCCCTGTGAGTTGATGGCCAAACTGGGAGTGTTACTGAGGTTGCCCCCAGACCATTCCTGGGAAAAGAGAAAACTCAAGAGTACAGGCCTGACCTAGGCATTGTCCCCAATGGAAGACAGATGTCAAGAGTCTTAGCACAGATTCCAAGGGAAGGGATCTGCCCAGGGCCACCCAGCTGGCTGGAGCCAAAGAGTGCAGACCTTGGAGGACAGAGGGCATTCTGTGGCTGTGGCAAGGGAAGGATATGACCAGGTTCTTCTAGAGCATTGCTTTGCTGCAGCAAGGGTGGGGATAGGGAGGCCAGAGCTGGCATGGGGATATTTCAACTTCTCCTATACACACACTGCACTAGAAACCCAACTCTTCCCAAACATTCTCTTTCTGACCCTGTTGGGAAACTGGCAGGGGAACATTCTGATCCCCTTGCCAGTGGGGAACCTTTGACTCTGGGAGGAGAGACAAGCAAAGGGCACCAGCCTGAGTGCTGGGGAGAACTCAGAGTTGATAGAGGGGGCGCCAGACAGCTCTTGGTGCTTCAGTTTCCTCCCTGATAAATGGAATAACAGTCCCTGCCTCACCAGGTGAATGTGAATGTGAATGTGGAGGGCACCTGTCACGTAGGACATACTTAATATTACTCCCTTACTTACCCCTTGTTCACTCCCATGGGGAAACCCAAGGTTGGGGACAGTTATGATTCCAGTGAGGAGTCTGCTTCATGTTAAGTGTGTGTGTGTGTGTGTGTGTGTGTGTGTGTGTGTGTGTGTGTGTTGAGAACAGAAGGGGAGAGCATGGTAGAAAGTCTGAGTAAGGCTGGGCCCCAGATCAGGGACACCTGAGGACATGCTGTAGGGAAATTGATGAACCTCTTAGCCTGTTTCCCACCTGTGCAATGGGTAAAATGATGATATCCTGTCTCAGGGTTTTTACAAGAATTAAACGAGATCCTCCATGTCACGCTGCTAGTAAGGGACTTAATAAGTGCTCATTTAGCTGTAATCATAAAAATGCCATTATGCTTGCTAGAGCTGCCTCCTGGTGGCAGGGGACAGCACTACCTCCTCCACCTGTGTACATTTAAACTTCTCTAGAGTTGAAGTTTATACTCACTAGAAACACTGAAAATTGAGGCACAGGATAGAAGAGGGGTGACTTAAAGGCAAATACTAACTTACTGAAGTCCCCGTATGACAGTCATCATAAAAGCCGACAGCCAGTAGCACTGTTGTGCCAAGAAGGGCCTTGGGCACCTTTGTGGCAGGAGGAGGGTCAGGACTTCCGTCTGCAAACACCCCCACCCCCCGCACGACAGGGGCCACACTTCCCAGTCAAGTCGTCACATAAGCCTACACTATCCTTCGGATTGGGTTCAGTTATGAGCCTGGTGTCCCCCAGATAAAGCCAAGACATATAAAATAGCCCACCCGAGGCCACACTTTGCTCCTTCCCCAGCCTGACCCTGGACCCCTAGACCGCCGCGGAGGGGACCTCTGCCCCTGGCTGCCTTTCTGGGTGGCAGGCGGCTTTTTCGGGCACTTGGTGGGCACCAAGACCCTGTCCACTCCTCCCTACTCTCGCCTGTTCGTGCTGAGGAAACAGAGGGGCGCCAGTGCTTAGCGACTGCCCCAGACCCGCGGCGAGTCAGCTGTGGTGCAATGGAGCGCTCGGGGCGTTTCTGGGTGCATCTACCCGGGTAGGGTCACCCCAGCCCCGGCCAGAGCCCGCTCGCCGGTATCCCCAGTTCTCTACACCAAGAGCTTCACCGACTCCGACGAATTTCCATTCCGGGCCCCCAAGACCATTACTCCTACAGCGCAGATTACCCTGGGAAACTGAGGTCTGGGGACTCTGGGGTGAAGTTCCAAAGGGGAGTGGGGTCGGGGCTGTGTGTTGGGGGAAAGTTCCTGGTGCTGTTCCCGACACTTGCGCCAGCCCCACCCGGCCCGGGGACCCTGTTAGCCAGGTCTGCCGGACAAGGCCGCGGCCCAGAGTGGCACGCAGGTTCCCGGTCCAGGAGCGAGCGCGGCATCCGGACATAAGGCCAAGGCCGCAAGGGCCATCCCCGCGCCTCCTCGTAGCGCTTGAGGGCGGGATCCGGCGGGCCTGAGAGGCTGTCCTCGGCGCGCCTATTGGTTGGGGCCGGCGTCTATCGGGACCCCGGGGCCCGACAATTGGCCAGTGGGGGAGGAGTTCTCAGAGCCCCAATGAATGGGGGAGCCGGAAGCAGGAAGTGAGTTTGCGAACAGAGCAGCTGCTGGAGGTGAGGCGCGGCGCACGGGTTTGGGGGTCACAGTGTGTCATTCCTGGGGGACTCAGGCGAGGCTGGACCGAACGCAAAATCGTTTCCTTTCTGCCCACTCTCCAGTACCTCTTCCAAATTCATCCCAACCTCGACCTCAAAGAGCACTCCGGGCAGCAAAGAGTTAACACCCCTCTCAGAACCCGGGAACTGTGCCATCAGGGCAGAGCCTTGGGAGTCGCGGGCCGGCTGGAAACTCCTTCCCAGCTGGGAGGGGGGTGTGGAGAATGCCGTGGGGTAGGAGTACCCGGGTCCCAACGGGGCTGTAAGTTTGGCAAGTTGCTTGGCCTCGCCAACTCTCAATTTCCCCATCTGTAAAATGGGTTTTCTTCCAGCATGAACTGCTGTGGTTTCCCTGGCCGAGCACTTGGAGAGGGCAGGAGAATGGAGAGCTGAGGGAAAGGCAGCTAGAGGGATGAGAATGGGGCAGCCGCGAGGGAGGAGAGGACTGAGGAAAATCATTTTCTCCTGTGGGTAGGTCCCATCCAGGGCGACCTCATCTAATTAGTGCGCACGTTTGTTGAAGTTGGGGTCATTATCATCCCCTTTTTACGGAGGAGGAAATGACAGGAAAGTGAAGCAGTTGATTTGACTTTGGGAAGTCTGGGAGAATCAGGATTAGAACGTAGTGGAATCAGTCTTCCAGCTGACAGCCGGGAGTTCGGAAGAGAAGGAGGGGACACAGAGAGGGGCCTGGACTAGGAGTCTAGAGATAAGAGTCTCTGCTACTGACTCCTCCACTGTGTGACTAGGCAAGGCTCCTAGTCTCTCTGAGCCTCAGTTTCCCCATCTGTAGTACCAAGTAGTTGGATTCAGTCTTTAAGGTTGAGGGGCTACGTTCCAAGAATGGCCCACCAATGTATTTTGGAATCTTCTTGAGTGAGTCACCTAACCAACCTTCTCTGAGCCTCAATGAGCATATCCGGTGAATGGGGGCAGTAGCACTCCCTTCGGCGTGGGCTTTTGAGAGGATTCTATGAGATCATATGCATTCAGAACCATTGTGCAGCTGGCTTGTAGTAAATGACAACAGTGATGGTTCTCAGCAGAGCCCATGGCGGACACCCAGTACATCCTGCCCAATGACATCGGTGTATCTAGCCTGGACTGCCGTGAGGCCTTCCGCCTGCTGTCACCCACAGAGCGCCTTTATGCCCACCACCTATCACGGGCCGCCTGGTACGGAGGCCTGGCTGTGCTGCTGCAGACGTCCCCTGAGGCCCCCTACATCTATGCCCTGCTCAGCCGCCTCTTCCGCGCCCAGGATCCTGACCAACTGCGCCAATATGCCCTAGCTGAGGGCCTTACAGAGGAGGAGTATCAGGTCAGTTTTCTCAGGCTGGCCCCCATTTCCTGAGTTGCTTCTGGGTGTGAGGACCAGAATGTAGGGGTACAGAAGTCTCTGTCTCTTTCAGAGAGCAGGTGGAGGATTAGATCAGGTTACAAAGTCAGGAACCTTGCCTCCTGGAGCCTCAGTCTTCTCGTCTGTAAAATATGCACGTGGGTTGTGTGTACCTTGCAATGTTGCAACGACCCACTTAGAACACTGCCTGACTGGAAGATAAATGGTGGCTGCTGTGAGTATAACAAAGGAAATGGCAGTGAAGATTCAGAGAAGGCAGAGGGAGGAGTTCTGGACCAGTTCTTCCCTGCTATATCGTGTGGCCCTGGGCAGAAAATTCTATGTGTCCTCTGGTTTTTGTTTGTCTCCCCATCTACTGGCCAAGTGATACATGGATTGTCAGTGCTTGGCAATAGCGCAGAAAGACTAAAAACACAGATTACTTATCCTCAGTGTCCTCCCCAGAACTAAGTGCTGAGGCTGGCGTGGTGTCCGGCACTTTCCCTCCCTCTACTCTCAGCATCGGTTGCTTATTTTCTCTTTTACGTAAATGAGGTCATGTTCTTCTGTATCCTTCTGTTTTTCATTGAATGCCATATCTTGGTGAACTTCCATGGGGTACACAGAAATCTACCTCATTCTTTTTATTGATCGTGAAGCATTCCACAGCAATTTAATCTTTTCTTTTCTTTTTTTTTTTTTTGGCCGGGGCTGGGTTTGAACCGGCCACCTCTGGCATAGAGGGCTGTCGCCCTACTCCCTTTGAGCCACAGGTGCTGACCTTTAATCTTTTCTTTATTGCTAGACATGCTAGACTTTTTATATTGCTAGACATTTAGATCGTTCCTGTTTTTTCTTATAAGCAGTGCCATGGTGAGCATACTTGCCCATGTGTGTAATATCTATTTCTAGAAGTAGAAAATACTTTGGGTCAAAGGTTCTATATCTTGACTGATTCCATCTTCTAAAAAAGCTTTTGCCAACTCATATTATCACCAAGAACCAACGAGAATTCAGCCTGTTTTTCTACGTGTGAAATAAAAGGATTGGATTGCTTGTCTCTGAGCTGAGGTGCTATTTCTTCCACCTCTTTTGAACTTTGGGTAATCACTTCCCATCTTGAGACCTTAGTTTATTCATTAAAAGAGGTAGTCTCATGTAAACACTTCTAACTGGAAAGGTGCTACCCAAGGTTTACTATTTTTAGGGGGAATCTTATGTTTGCAAGTAGCAGAAACCCAACTCAAATTGGGTTGAATGAAAAAGAGAATTATTGGCTCCTATGATTGACAAGTTCAGGGCTAGAGGAGGCTTCAGGCATGACCAGGGTCCAGGGCTTAGTGCCACCTTGGGGGTGCAGTCTTTATTTAATTTTTTTTGAGACAGAGTCTCAAGCTGTCACCCTGGGTAGAATGCCATGGCATCACAGCTCACAGCAACCTCAAACTGTTGGACGTAAGCAATTCTCTTGCTTCAGCCTCCCAAGTTCCTGAGACTACACCTGGCTATTTTGTTGTTGTTGCAGTTGTCATTGTTGTTTTAGCTGGCTGGGGAAAGTTCAAACTCACCAGCCTCGGTGTATGTGGCTGGCACCCTACCCACTGAGCTATGGGCGCCGCCAGGGGTGCAGTCTTTAGCCTTCCTCTCTCATCTTTGCCTTCTTTCCTCACTCCGCATGGGGCTTCAGGGGCCGAGGCCTGCCCATGCCCAGTGCAGGATGGAGGCTCTTTGCCAACAGGGCCTTGCCTGGGTATATCTCTTATTGGACAACTTGAGCCTTATGCCCATTCCTGTAGTCAGCCTGGCCATACTAGCTTACTCGCCAGCCCCTGCAACAGAAGGGAGATCCTCCTCCCTATCAGAAGGAAGACTGAGGTCTTCGTACCAGAGGAAGGGAGGTTGGATCTGAGCTGGCAGAAGCCATAGCATAGATAGATGGTTGATGCCCCATTCAGCTCTGATGTTTGCTGCTTTCAAGCCAGCTGCCTGCTCCTTCCAAGAGGAGGCAATGTTGGAATTGGACCTTAAAGGACTTGTGGGCCCCAGGTAGCTGCAAGGGTGCTGGGGCTGGAAGGAGTAAGGGTGAGTGGCTATGTGTGTTTGGGAACTGCTGAGACGACCATCTGGCTAGACAACGGGGCTGTGAAAACTGGTCTCTGAAAGTAGGTAGGGGGCAGACTGGGGGTCCCAGGGTCTAGGTCCTGCCCCCCATTTCCAACTTCACCTGTATTGATTCTGCTGGGATGTTCACATCTCAGGAAGAGACTGGGGTTGGAGAGGCAGTGCTTTCTGGGTCTCTGATGCCCACCTCCCCCTCAGGCGTTCCTGGTCTATGCTGCGGGTGTCTACTCCAACATGGGCAACTATAAATCCTTTGGTGACACCAAGTTTGTTCCCAGCCTGCCCAAGGTGAGCTGAGGGTGGATGGGAAAGGTGGAGAGTAGGGAGGGGGCCAGTGGGTTGGGTGGAAAATGTGGTTGGAGACTCTCCAACCAGAGTCAGGGGCCCTGAGCAGAGCCTTGACCCTGTCACTACCACACTGTGTGACTGTGTCTGTCACCCAGCTTCATGTATAAAGGAAAAGCACAGCTGTTCCCAACTGCTGTTCTAAGAGTTGAACAAGAATGGAATATGGAAGTATTCTATGAACTTTCAGGCATTGGCAAAAAGGGAGCCTATTAGTGGTTGTAGGGGACCATGGAGAAGCCTGACACCTGGGCTTCTCACACTGTAACATGCACTTGGCGTGCCGGGCAGTCTAATTGAAGTGCCATGTCTGAGTCAGTGGGTATGTGAGGGGCCCGAGGTGCAACATTTCTCAGGCCAATACTGCTGGTTCGTGAGCCGTGAGCCGGAAGAGACCTTGGAACGTGGGAGAAGAGCTTGGGAACAGAAAAGGAGGCTGTGGAGGGCAGGTTTGGTGGGTCTGACTGGGCCAGTGGCCTCCCTTCTCTGCAGGAGAAGCTGGAACGTGTGATCCTGGGGAGTGAGGCCGCCCAGCAGGACCCAGAGGGCATCAGAGGCCTCTGGCAGGCCTGCGGGAAGCTCATGTTCTCTCTGGAGCCGAGGCTTCGACACCTCGGGCTGGGGAATGAGGTGAGACCCCCAGCTGCATGGGGAGTGGAGGGTCCTTCAAGGCCACCTGTGCGGTGGGAAGGGCACCTGATGAGGATGTGAAGCTGCTCCCTGCTGAGGGCCATGGTTTGTCATCTGTAAGATGGTAAGCAGGTGTGGTGGGAGCATTCCAACATTCCTCCCAGAGCCGATGTGCACACAGGATGCTGTGTGTAGGAGAGGAGAGAAGGGCTGTGAGGTGGAGGGGGCTGAGAAGGGTGTTCCAGCCTCCACCTGGGGAGGCCACTTCAGCTGCTTGGTCTGAGGTCTGTGGCAAGCCTCTGGGGTAGGCCAGCCTGGGGAGGCTGGATGTGACCATCTTTGTATTTGTTTTATTACATTTTCCCCTGGAAAGAGATGGAGGGGGACAGGGTGAAGGCTGCTAAAAGCAGGTGCCAGAAGCCTGAGAAGCCCCCCACCAACCTCAGCAACTCCTCTTCCCCACCACTCCCTGTCCCCAACAGGGAGTCACCACCTATTTCTCTGGGGACTGTACCATGGAAGATGCCAAACTCGCTCAAGACTTTCTGGACTCACAGGTTAGGGAGCTGGGGAACTTAGGGGGGTGGTTAAATGGTCCCACTCGTCCCAGTCTCCTCATCACCAGTGACTGTACCTGAATCTCAGCTCGGGCCCAGAGACAGGCATCTTGGGTCCTTGACGTGGAAAAGACTTGGAGAACGCCTGTCTAAGAGATCAGCCTGGCACAGATAAGGACAATATCCCATCCCATATGTGGCAGGGATAGAGCCCCTCTCCCACCCTGGATTATAGGGCCTGACAGTAGCCTCAGATCAGGGCGAGGCTGAGCTTCCAGCTCAGGGTCTGGAGCCCATGTGTCCCGTGGGAGCCCTGGCTCAGCCAGGCACCAGTTTTGTGATCAGGTTCCCTGTCTTGGAGACAGTACCTGCCTCATGTAGCCTTGGGTTAGCTGAGGTCATGCAGTGCCTTGGGTTGCTTGGGGTCAAGTAGTGCCTTGGGTTGGCTGGGGTCCTGCAGTGCCTTGGGTTGGCTGGGGCCATGCAGGGCCTTGGGTTGGCGGGAGTCATGCAGGGCCTTGGGTTGGCTGCCTTGGGTTGGCTGGGGTCCTGCAGGGCCTTGGGTTGGCTGGGGTCATACAGGGCCTTGGGTTGGCTGGGGTCATACAGGGCCTTGGGTTGGCTGGGGTCCTGCAGGGCCTTGGGTTGGCTGGGGTCATGCAGGGCCTAGTACAGTCATGTCACTGTATAGGGAAGGTTAGTGCTCATTGTGCTGAGCAGAGCAAGAGAGTCGGCCTGGCCTGCCTGCTCCTGCTCTGACTCCTGCCTTGACCTTTTCCAGAACCTCAGTGCCTACAACACGAGGCTCTTCAAAGAGGTCGACCAGGAAGGCAAGCCCCAGTATGAGGTGCGGCTGGCATCCGTGCTTGGCACAGGTGAGCCAGGCCCAGCAGGCCACTCCTCACACCCCTCCACCCCTACTTAGCATTTCTGGACCTGGGGGCTCAGGCCACCAGCCCTGCCACTCCAGCAGAAAGAGGGTCTTGTCTCAGGGGTTTCTGCGCAACGCCTGGGAGTGGCTGTGGTTTCTCTGTCTGGTCTCATGTTTTTATGTAAACCACCTCCCGTGGGCAGGCAAGGGGATGTCTCTGGTTGCCTCAACCTGTTGTCAAGCCTACCCAAGGCCAGCAATGAGCCATCTGGCCTGGGGGGCATTCTCAAAGGGAAACTAGGTAAGGGGAAAATGGACATAGTATGGACAGGCACATGCAGACCCCTGTGAGGACCTCAGCCACCTGGTGCTTCTCTCCCCACCTACAACCTTACTACTTGTCCCACCTCACGTACCCTGCAGCCACCCGCACAGACTCTGTTCCAGCTATGAGAACAGCTTCCAGGCCTCTTGTGCCCTCACCAGGCCTTTGCATGACCTCGTCACCCTTCCTATGTGGAAATCCCTGCAGGCCCTTGTGTCCCCTGGTTCACTCCTCCTTGTCCTCTGGACTGTGCATGGACATTCCCTTCTCCAGTTCTCCAGGACCTTTCCTGTTGTCCCGTGACTGGGTCTGTGCCCTTCTCTCCTCCCCCTAGCTTGCTGTCTCCCAAGTACCCAGCACTGGTGGATACTCAAATAAATAAGATGCCTAGGGCACTGCTCCAGGTAGAGGGAACAGCATGCTCCAAAGTGGGGTGGCAGGATAGTTGGGGATTTGTAGGCTGTTTGGTTTGTCTTAGTAAGAAGGATGTGGTTCAGGGGAACAGGAATAGACCCCACAGGAAGGAAGCAGTTAAGAGTGTGGCTTGAGCCAGGCTGGCTGAGTGGATCAGTTATCTGTCACCGTGAAACAAATGCCCCCCAAATTTAGTGACCCTGTGGGTCAGGAAAGTAGATGGAGCATGGTAGGAACAGCTAGCTCTGGTGATGATGTCTGGCAACTCCACAGTCACCTGCAGGCTCCCTCACTCATGCTATGCCAGCTTCCCCTGGGGCTGTCAACCTAGATGCCTCATCTCATGAGGCATCTTCATTTTACTCCCAGTGGCTGGACTCCCAAGAGCATGCATCCAGGAGAGCTGGCAGAAGCGGGCTTGCCTCTTATGGCCTATTCTTAGCACTTATGTGGCATCACTTCTGCTGTGGTCCTAGCCTGCCCAGCCTCAAGAGGAGGTGACATCAATACATCAGTGCTGTATCTTAGTGAGAGAAGTCACAATAAGAAAGCAAGTGCAACAGGAAATACCATGGCTGTCTTTTTTTTTTGAGACAGAGTCTCACTATGTTGCCCTCTGTAAAGTGCTGTAGTGTCACAGCTCACAGCAACCTCAAACTCTTGGGCTTAAGAGATTTTCTTGCCTCAGCCTCCCAAGTAGCTGAGACTACAGGCGCCTGCCACAATGCCTGGCTATTTTTTTTATTGCAGTTATCATTGTTGTTTAGCTGGCCTGGGCCAGATTTGAACCCACTAGCCTCAGTGCATGTGGCTGGCACCGTAACCACTATGCTATGCACACCAACTTTGGCTGTCTTTTTTTGAGACAGGATCTTACTTTGTCTCCTGGGCTGGAGCTGGAGTACAGTAGTGTTCTTATAGCTCATAGCAGCCTCAAACTCATGGGCTCAAGTGGTTCTTCTATGTCAGCCTCCTGAGTACTAGGACTACAGGAGCCCACCACCACACACAGCTTATTTTTCTATTTTTTTTAGAGACGAGGTCTTGCTTTTTCTTGGTCTGGTCTCAAACTTTCTGGCTCAAGCAATCCCCCCACCTTGGCCTCCCAAGGGTGGGATTACAGGTGCGAGCCAGTGCACCTGGTCCCGGCTATCTTTTTTACTTGTTTTTACATAGTCTGTAAGTACATTTTATTGATCAGAGACACCAGGCAAAATGCAACAGTGGGCTGGTATCCCACTGCTCCTCTAACAAATCACTGCAGATTAATTCTGTTGCCATTGTAGAGGTCCAGAGTCCAAAATTAAGCGTCAGCTGGGCTGTGTACCTTGTGGAGTTGTGGGAGTCTGTTTTCCAGCTTCTAAGCATCTGCTTGCATTTCTTGAATCTGGCCTTTCCTCACTCCATCCACCAGCTTTCTTCTGTCATCACATTTCCTCCTCCCCGGTCTCCCTCTTGTCTGCTTGTGGTTGCATCTGGGATGTGGCTAACTTTTAAAACTCCAAGCTGCCACTCCCTGTCCACTGAGCCTCCTCTTGGTATCTTAGTTTCTACCTCTGTAAAGTGGAGAAAATGATTTCCCCTCCCCTGGGTTGGCATGAGGCTTAAATGAGTGGTCACGTGTAAAGTACTTAGAAAACTATCTCTGGGAGGCCAAGGTGGGTGGATTGCTTGAGCTCACAAGTTTGAGACCAGCCTGGGCAAAAAGCAAGACCCCATCTCTACCAAAAATAGAAAAACTGAGGCAAGAGGATCACTTGAGCCCAGGAGTTGGCGGTAGGGTAGCTGTGAGCTATGATGCCTCAGCACTCTACCCAGGGTGACAGCTTGAGACTGTCTCAAAAAAAAAAAAAGAAAAAGGAAAGAAAGCGGCAGCTCGGCGCCTGTGGCTCAAGCGGCTAAGGCGCCAGCCACATACACCTAAGGTGGCAGGTTCGAATCCCCAGCCTAGGCCCGCCAAACAACAATGATGGCTGTAACCAAAAAATGGCCAGGTGTTGTGGCGGGCGCCTGTAGTCCCAGCTACTTGGGAGGCTGAGGTAGGAGACTCGCTTGAGCCCAGGAGTTAGAGGTTGCTGTGAGCTGTGATGGCATGGCACTCTACCCAGGGGGATAGCTTAAGGCTCCGTCTCAAAAAAAAAAAAAGAAAGAAAGAAAGAAAGCGGCATGTCACTTAATATATATATTATTGCAAGATGAAAATTGATGCTCATTTCTGTTGACAGTGGAGAGCCATGAAAGACCTGAGAGCAGTGTTTTTCAACATTTTTCTCCCACGGCACACTTGAACCTATAGTTATAATTCCACAGCACACTTAAGGGTGCTGGCCACATACACCAGAGCTGGCAGGTTCGAATCTAGCCCAGGTCTGCCAAACAATGACAACTACAACCAAAAAATAGCCAGGTGATGTGGCAGGCGCCTGTAGTCCCAGCTACTTGGGAGGCTGAGGCAAGAGTATTGCCTAAGCCCAAGAGTTGGAGTTTGCTGTGAGCTGTGATGCCACAGCATTCTACTCAGGGCAACAGCTTGAGACTGTCTCAAAAAAAAAAAAAATTATGTTGATAAAAAAAAAAGGAGTATACTTACTGTGCTCTGAACTTTTTTTGAAAATGATTTAATTCATGATCTTTAAAAATTTTTGTAGTACACCTAAGATCCTCTCAATGACAACCATTTGCCAATTGGAAATCACCACCTTAGAGTACAAGAGTGCTGTAGTAGAAATTCTGCCACACATATCATGCTAGCCTTTTCCCTGAGTGATCCCTCTCTCCTCAGAGTCTGCCCTGGACTCTGAAGTGACTTCCAAGCTGAAGAGTTACGAATTCCAGGGGAGCCATTTCCGGGTGACCCGAGGGGACTATGCTCCCATCCTCCAGAAGGTGGTGGAGCAGCTGGAGAAAGCCAAGGTAGGGCTGGCTGGGGCCAAGGGGTACAGGCAGCGAAAGGGTCTATGGGGAGGGGATGGGTAGGTGGCCTGAGGCTGACCAGCCCCTGCTCACCCCTAGGCCTATGCAGCCAGCAGCTGCCAGGAGCAGATGCTGACCCAGTACGTGGAAAGCTTTACCCAGGGTTCCATTGAGGCCCACAAGAGGGGCTCCCGCTTTTGGATCCAGGACAAGGGGCCCATAGTAGAAAGGTGAGGTGCCAGCCTCAGCCCAACCTGCCTGCCCGCCCACCTGCCCATTCTTCCAGCTCTGCCTTTTTCTCCCCAGCTACATAGGGTTCATCGAAAGCTACCGCGACCCCTTTGGTTCCCGAGGAGAGTTTGAAGGTAACTCCTGAGGGAGGGGGGATTAGCTGTAAGCCTTTCCTGTGCCCAGGTTCACACCCCCAGTGTCCCCTGAGGGTTTCCCCTCAGCCGTAATGACAGCAAGAACAGGCATGGTGAATACTCCTGATGTTCCAGGCACTGCTGTACAAAGCTTGCCTATAGCCACTGACACATCGTCATCATCCCTTCAGAAGTTTTATCCTCACTTAACAGATATGGGAACCCAGCCCAGGTGGTGGGTGGCCAAGCCCAGGACCCTGACTCTGAGTCATTTTGCTGTGCGGCATCTGTTGTCCGGTCAGGGCACAGGATTTGTCACTCCCCGGCTGTGTGACTTTGGGCTGGTTACCCAGCTTCTGAGTGCATGAGGATGGCTGCACCCAGTGCCAGGGGCTGGTGGATGCTGTGATATGTACCCGACTAGATGCTGCTATCCTGCACTAGGGGCTCACACCAGGCCCTGAGGGGGTGTGGAGCTTCCCTCCCCAATCCAGGCTGCCTTGCCCTCCCCGCATCCCCATGCCCCATGGGACCCCCTGAGTAAGGCAGAGCATCTGGCCTGGGGACACAGTCATGTTTGTGCCCACCCTTCTCCTCCCACGCTCTGGACATGGGATCTGAGCGTCTGCCTGCTGCAGCCAGAGATGTTAGCCTTTGGGGGGAGTTCAGTACCCTCTCAAGACCTGGGTGTGACCCCGTAGACACAGGCCTGGGATGAAGCGTCAGGGGGCAGGGGTCCTGATCTGGTAAGGCCCAGCCGGGTCACTGCTATCCCCAGCAGCCAGCACGGGCATGTCTCACAGCAGGCAACCAATACACACGTGATGGCTAGAGGGGCTGAGTGGGATGGAAGGGGGGCCTCCCAGGGTTCCACCAAATTCCAGCCCTTCCTCCCCTCAGGCTTTGTGGCCATGGTGAACAAGGCCATGAGTGCCAAGTTTGAGCGGCTCGTGGCAAGTGCAGAGCAGCTGCTGAAGGAGCTGCCCTGGCCACCAGCCTTCGAGAAGGACAAATTCCTCACCCCCGACTTCACCTCCTTGGATGTTCTCACCTTTGCTGGATCTGGCATTCCTGCTGGCATCAACATCCCCAACTGTGAGTATCCTCAGGTCCATCCCCTGTTTTATGTGGGGATTTGGGGGGACAAAGTCTCACTCTGTCACCAGGCTGGAGTGACACAGTGTCAGCCTAATACACAGCAACCTTGGAGTCTTGGGCTCAAGCAAGCCTCAGCCAAGTAGCTGGGATCACAGGCTCCTGCCAGAAGGCCTGGTTAGTTTATCTATTTTCAGTAGAGATGGGGGTCTCGCTCTTACTCAAGCTGGTCTCAAACTCCTGCCCTCAAGCGATCCGCAAACCTTGGCTTCCCAAGAGTGCCAGGATTACAGGCGGGAGCCACTGCACCTGGCCCTGAGCCCCCATTTAAAATACCCTCTTTCTCTACACACATACCCTGGCCACAGACTGTTCTGCTCAACTCACCTCATGCCTGTGAATCTTGACCTTTGCCTCTTCTCCCTGGCCCCTCCCTGCCTTCTCCAGACGACGACCTAAGGCAGACCGAAGGCTTTAAGAATGTGTCACTGGGGAATGTGCTGGCTGTGGCCTATACCACACAACGGGAGAAGCTAACCTTCCTGGAGGATGATGACAAGGTGGGTGCCAGCAGCCCAGGTTCAGAGCTGGGCCCTACCTGCCTCAGTGGACCAGGGAAGGGAGACAGCCCTGAGCAGCGGGGAGGAAAGAGCACAGTTTTGGTCCTGGCTTTGCTGCTCCCATGCCATGTGACCGAGTGCCACTTTGCAGCCCTAGTTTCCTCACTGGTCATACAGTGGAAGCACTCCCCACCCTGCCCCAGGGCTGCTACGAGGATGAGTGGCCTTCATGTGCATGTGATGGGCCCTTGACCTGGGGGAGGGGGATGAGGGGCACAAGGGGCTGAAGCTCCATGCACAGCATGGGTCCCTGTTTGTCTTGGTAGGACCTATATATCCGGTGGAAGGGGCCTTCCTTTGACGTGCAGGTGGGGCTGCATGAGCTACTGGGCCACGGTAGTGGCAAACTCTTTGTGCAGGTAGGACAGCACCACCAGTGCTGGTACCCGCAGGAGCCGTCATCACGGCCTGGCCTGCAGCTCCCTTCCCTGATGACCTACCCTGCCCAGGGGTGTGGTGACTCCAGTCTGCCCTAAGGGGCTTCAGGGGGTGGGGGAATGGCCCCTTACAAGGAAGACCCTGCCTTGCCTTCCCTTAAAATGTCCCTGGAGCTCAGGAGACTTGAGTGTCGAGGGGCCTGCAGGATAGTCCAGCTGCTGTCCCTGCACCAGGAGAGATTGCTTGGCTAAGGCCAGAAGCTCACCCAGAGGGAGTGACACCTGCAGTTACCCGGGAACAGAGCCTGGGAAAGGCAGTCTCTGGATAGTCCCTGTCCTGAGGCTACGGTGCTCTCCGCACTGCTATTGTTTGGAGCCTGGACCTTTCCCCAGAGCAGCCCTTCCCTGCCAGCTAGGGTCCACACATACAGGGAATATGGAAAAAGCAGACAGCCTTTCTGGAAGGCTAAAAAAACTTACTGTGGACCCTCAGTGTGGAGATGACAGGAGGTGGGACATGGTGGGAACCATCAGAGAGCAGGATGCTGGCTGGGAGCTTTCTGTGGCTGGGTCTGGGTATCAGAAGGATGTTGAGAACAGCTAATGGGGTAGCAGCTGGCCCGGCACCTTGTCCACACGTTCTCCATGCTGTGACCTTGGATAAGTCTGTTCCCCTCACTGAACGTCAGCTGGCTCATCTATAAAATGGGGTTCCTAACCCTCTTCGGCCCACCCCCTGGGGTCCAGCTGGGATCCAGAGATACCTGGTCTGGGTCTTCTCCACAAGGCTCTGTTTCCCTCTCTGCCATGGGTAGACTGGTCCTTCTCCTCCTGCGGTCTCTGACAAGGCAGCCAGTGTTGTAGGTCTCGGGTTCTGTATAGGGGACCTGTGCCTGCATCCTGGCCCTCCTTCCTGAGCCTCTCCTCAGCCCCTGGATCTGGGTCCGAAGGCCTGAACTGGGCCTTTTCCTCACTTATGCTGTGTCTGCAGGACGAGAAGGGAGTGTTCAACTTTGACCAGGAGACAGTGATCAACCCAGAGACGGGGGAGCAGGTGAGGGCAGCCTCCACAGAGGCTGGAGTCCCGGGAGGAAGGGCACTGGTGGGGCCTCGATCACCCTTAAGTCTGGTTCCTGGGCCTCCCCTCCCAGATTCAGAGCTGGTACCAGAGTGGGGAGACCTGGGACAGCAAGTTCAGCAACATCGCCTCCAGCTATGAAGAGTGCCGGGCCGAGAGCGTGGGCCTCTACCTCTGCCTGAACCCCCAAGTGCTGGAGTATGGGCAGCAGGCCAGAGGAGTACCGTTGGAGGGGTGGGTGCCGGCCCAGAGAGCAGGGCACTCTCTGACCATCCTGTCACTTATTCCTCCTTCCCCCAGGATCTTTGGCTTCGAGGGGGCTGATGCAGAAGATGTGATCTATGTGAATTGGCTCAACATGGTTCGGTCCGGGCTGCTTGCCCTAGAGTTCTATACCCCTGAGGCCTCCAGCTGGAGACAGGTAGGGTGGGGGAGCCCCTGGGAGGTGGGAGGGAGCATGTAGTAGTCACCCAGATCAGGACTCTGGATGCAGGGACAATGTAACCTCTCCTGTGAGGCAGGTGAGCTGGGTTTGATCCCAGCCTCCACAGTTTGGTCTCACAGCACTCTGGTGAGCCTCAGAGTCCCCACCTGTGAAATGGGAAAAATAATCTCTCCCCAGACACCTTTCAGGGTTAATGAGATGAGACAATGTCATCACTACTACTGATGGCTGGCTCTGTGCCACACACAGATCTCAGAACTTTACACAGATTAACTTCTGTTTCCAGTATCAACCCCGAGAGGCAAGAATGTCATTATCCTCATTTAGAGATGAGGAAATTGAGGCACAAACAGATTGAGTAACTTGGTGCTAAATGGCTAAAATCCACGCAGTCTGCCTCCAGGGCCGTTAAGCTTGACTGTTCAGATATGATACCTGTTTTGGAAATCTGATAACCAATAGCATTTCTTTTGAGGCAGGGTCTTACTCTGTCGCCCAGGCTGGAGTGGAGTGGCATAATCATAACTCACTGTAGCCTCCAACTGTTGGTCTCAACTAATCCTTCTGCCTCAGTCTCTTGAATCGTTGGGATTATAGTCTCACAGCACCATGCCCAGCTGGTTTATTTTATTTTATTTTTTATAGAGAGGGGGGTCTCACTGTGTTCCCTACGCTGGTCTCAAGCATTCCTCTCGCTTTGGCCTCCCAAAGCACTGAAATTATGGGTATGAGCCACTGTGCCTGGCCAGCAATAGAACATTTTTTACAAAATTGGATAAGTGTGGTTTGAAGAGGCAATATTATAGCATTAAAAGAATATGTTTTAGAGTCTAGAATCTTGGGTCTGAGTGCTGGCTCTTTGTTTATCAGCTGTGTGATCCTGAAAAAGGCATTTCAGCTTTCTGGGCCTCTGTTTTACTGTCTGTAAATGGGGATATTGATGCCTACTCAGTCCCACTGTTGAGCACAAACATGACTATCGAGGAGAAAGTGTTTGACTGCTCAGATATGATACATATTTTGGAAATAGGATAAGCAATAGAATTGAGGGCCTTGGAGAGTAACTGCTATCCTCAGGGGCCTGGAGCAGTAGGGGTGATAAGGAGAAGCACAGGACACCAGGTCCTGCCTGGAAATGGCCTCGCTGTCCCCCAAGGTGGCCTGCCCACCCTCTAAACAGAAGAAGGAAGAAGCAGTTGAGAAAAGAGGAATAGGCAGAAAGAAGAGCGTGGGGAGGACAATATGGTGATTAGTAATTGGCAGTTACTGAGCACACGCTATCAGGCCTTGGGCCAAGCATCTGATTCAGGCTACAAATGACCCCTTTTCCCCGGCCTTACAGGCCCACATGCAGGCCCGATTTGTGATCCTGAGGGTCTTGCTGGAGGCCGGCGAAGGACTTGTGACCGTCACTCCCACCACAGGCTCTGATGGGAGACCTGATGCCCGTGTCTGCCTGGACCGCAACAAGATCCGGTCTGTGGGCAGGCCCGCCCTGGAGCGGTTTCTGCGGAGACTCCAGGTAAGCATCTGCATCTCACCTTGGAGGGTGTCCGCCAACCTCTGCCCTGTCTCCCTACCCTACTGACACTTCCTCATAGCCTCCTGCTTAGTTTATTCATTCATTCATCGAGACTTACCATGTGCCAGGCATAGCGAGTAGACTGAGCAGTTTCCCACATGGGAATAAGGGAAGGAAGGTGGGCAATAAACACATAAGCAGATGGTACCCAACATAACTTCAGACCATGAGAAGAGCTGTAAAGGCAATAAAACTGGGTGATGTGATGGTGAGTGATTAGAGGAAAGGACAGGCCTTCTTAGTCTGGGTAACTAGGGAAGTCTTCTTGGGCGAGGTGTCAGTTTAGCTGGAATTTGAATGCCAAGAAAGAAGCAGCTGTTGAGAAGATCTGAGAGCAGAAGAAACAGCAAGTACAAAGGCCAATCTCAGGGTCAAGATGAGCTTGGTGTCTTGAGGGAGGGAGAGCCCTGGAGCTTGGTGAATAAAGGAGGGAAAACATGGTGGTTAGTGCAGCCCTGGGTTCCCTCCCTTACAGGGATGCTGACAGTCAGGAGACTTTTTGGGGACTGGGCGTGGTAGCTTACTCCTGTAATCATAGTGTTCTGAGAGGCCAGGTGGGTGCATTGCCTTAGCTTATGAGTTTGAGACCAGCTTGAGTAAGAGGGAGACCTCATCTCTAAAAAATAGCCAGGCATTATGACAGGCACCTGTTGTCCCAGCTACTTGGGAGGCTGAAGCAAGAGGATTATTTGAGCCTAAAAGTTTGAAGTTGCTGAGAGCTATGATGCCACAGTATTCTACCAAGGGCAACAAAGTGAGACTCTGTCTCACAAAAAAAAAAAAAAAGACTTCAGAGTTCTGGTGCCAGTATTAACCAACTGTGTAACTGGGGGCAACACCACTTGATTCACCCTCTGTGCCCCTCTTTTATCATCTGTCAGTGGGCTATGCCTGCAAGGATTAAATGAAACATTGTACGTAGAAAACTGAGCAAGTTCTATGTCTTGCCAAAGACACAGAAGGTTGTGGTCCATGGACCAGCAACATGGGCATCCCCTTATAATAAGTCAGAAGCACAGATTTTCAGGCCCTGTTCCAGCCTTCCAGAATTGGAATCTCCAAGGGCTGGGGCTCAGGAACCTGCCTGTTTAGTGGCCCTCCAGGCAATGCTGAGACCTGGTCTTGGAGTCCAGCACCTTCCTTTAGAGCAGGGTCCTGCTGGCTTATCCTACCTAAAGAAGGCCCAGCCTTTGATTCACAAACTTAAATCACAAATTATAAATCACAGTATCTCTTTGTGATTTTATTTCTACTTGTTTCCAGAAGGATTTAAGGTGTTTTTTCCTAAACTGTTTGTCCATTAAGGTAAAAGGACTTAGAAGTTAAAAATCATTAGACTGTAAAACAATGGACTGGATCCTGGAATAGGAAAAGGGCATTAGTAGGAAATCTAGGGAAGTCCAAGTAAAGTTTAGGTTTTAGTTAAGAAACTGGGCAAGGGGCAGATGAGAGCTCTCTGTATCATCCTTACAACTTTTCTGTAAATCTAAAATCATTCCAAAACCAAGTTTTTTTGTTTTTTTTTTTTGAGACAGAGCCTCAAGCTGAGCCCCTGGGTAGAGTGCCATGGCTTCACTGCTCATAGCAACCTCCAACTCCTGGGCTCAAGC